CCAACAAACATTGGTCAATCCCCGTGTGCCCCCACAATAGAAGAGATGACACACGCCCGCTGCTACAGCCAAAGGTGACCTTAGGGCTGATCCCCTCTGGACCAACATGATGCATCTATGGAGAGAACGAGGACTGACCCAATAACTTGTGTTGCTTAGAAGAGACGAAATATGGAGACGACCTCTGTTTGGGAACACATGCATATTAGATCATATGGGCAACCCTTTCTCGCTCCAAACGGGTTCCAAATGACTCCCCCGGGCGAGGAAAGGGATTTACACAGTTGGTGATCTGTGGAATATTCAAGCAAGCACGTGGCTGTCGGTCCAGGATCTTCATTAAAAGCTTGACCACATTAGAAAGTTGGAGGATGCACTGCAAGAGATCCAAGACGTTGTCCCTCTCGCATGGGTCCTGGAACTCAAGAGAGGCCCGACATTAAGGCAGGGGGACTGGGTGGTACGACCGGAGGACTGGCCGATCCCCATGACAGTTTACAAGGTAGAGGAAGTTAACTCACACGAGGCGAGGCTTAACACATACACACCACACCTCCCAGGAGATAGATGGTCAAAATTGGACCGTCATGAAGACCTGGACGGTTTCGTACCCGCTACCGACTTGTTAGAATATGTGTGGTTAGTGATAATAACAACAAACTAGTTATCTATGAGCCGACCACCCCCCTATGCTAGCTGCCATTCGACCCACAAGAGTGGGAATGGGACATGAGAGGATCTCATAAGCTCCAAATCTGGCAGTATGCAATTAAAGATGGGTACCGAATAGCGAGGAAACCGGCACACATATTCGAATAAATAAAACTGCGATGGGCCAGAGACTCTCCCCTCAACACAGAAGATGTAATCACACAGATTCACACTCAGATGGGCCACCTACTCGGTTGTGCGCCCTACCAACCTGCGTGTGTTGTAGTGGCAGATTATTCACAGGTGCCTTCCTACGTCGAACTGGATTGTGTCCATAACAAAATTTGGAGGCCCGGGGAGTGTTGTCTCCGCTCTGTAAGTACTGCTTTGGGACCTCCCCCAAGAAACGAGTTGCACTCGAACATTGCCTGCTGCCACTGCTGGACTGCACCATGGTGGCTCAGCTTTGGCAATGATGGGATGCAGTATGGCATCATCTAATGGGCATCCATTTCGCATGGGACCTAAAGGTTATTCTCTTGGGGGATTCACCCCCGCACGCACCCAGGTGGACACCCTTCAGCCTCAACGTGTTGAAAGTAACATGACCCCCACTGCTCATGGCTGCATGGCGAATAAAATGTGCATATGAGCACAGACAACACACATATGGCTATATGGAGGCTTGAGCCTCTATATTCTAGAAACAATCACGATCAACACACATTGACTTGGCAAGAGCTCAGGAATATGCTACTCAAGGAACCAGATACAATCAAACAAAATGAACTATCGGATAACTTTCGGTCTGTCTGGGTGGATGGTGCACAGAGACTCTGCGAATTGGACCAACACAACCAACTGCGATGGAAGTTGTGGTTGTTGACATAACCACAGTGGGAACGTCTACCGAGAAGCCACTTCTAGTTCCCATTCCAACCGACCAACTTCATCCTAATCCCGGGTTGAGAAGGCATAACACACTCCCGACTCCCGGCTCCTGCTTCCCCTCCTTACACCTACCCTCCTCCTCCTAAACCCTCCAAAGCCC